CTGATCTAGCGTTCCTGTTTATTATTACAGGATTGCATAAATAGTTTATATTTTGCCTTACTAGGATGTTGGGTGATATTCAGTTTTACCAGGTCATCACTGTTTGGAATCAGATAGTGCTTGCAATATGATACAAAGCTATTTGCCCTGCAATGTATTATTGTCTGTGTAGCACACATTATATCTGATTTGTGGATATTACAGTTTTGAATACTTCTTGAACAAGTCATCTTCCTTATTTATCTCCTTAGCTAAGGAACTTATCTGGGTCCAGTTTCCTTTATAATAGGAAAGGAGATAGCTGTCCCCACAATTTTCCTCAACAGTACTCAACATTCCAGTTTAGTGATTTCGCACCTCCTGGACTGAACAACTCTAGTTTTGTTCTGTGGGCATCAGAGCGCGGGCACGACACCAGCGACATATCACTCTCGTAAGTACGTGGAGTTTGTGAACGCAGAGTCGACCAACATTGATGATACCCGTTCTCCCCCTTCATAAAGCAGGGGTTGCCTTTCTATATTCCTTTTTGAATCCGATGATGCTAACTGCTTTTAAAGTTGTGTCCTAGTTCTCTGCTACGATTGAATTGATTCTACTCTCTAGTCTAAATAGGAGGTCGTAATTTTTTTCGTAAACCAGTTTACTGTTGACCATCCTACAGGTAATATTATATACACTTCTATCGTTGTATATAAGTAACGTTTTGAAAAAACCCCCCTTTTTTTTATTGTTATAATATAAATTTTTTTTTTATATACTTCATTTTAATAGATTTCTGCAGATTCTCGTTTTCTTTATCGTCTCTTTCTTATATCTAAAAGCACACAAGTTTTTATATCTGAATGGCTATTTGCACAATCTAGTGTTTTTGTTGTATAACAGTAGTTGGAGTTTAATTTCACTGTACTCCCAATGCCAATAAAAACTTTAACAGTGTGGGTATTATGTTTTCAAGATAACATTGAACAGTTGCTTGCACATATGACACATGGAATAATAGATCATAGACTACTGCAGATCCTTATACTTACCCCTTCTTATCACACAAGTATTTACCTGAGCTACACAACAGTGTTGTTGATACAGAGTTGGGAGTTTATTCACACGTCACATACTACAGTGGTAATGTCGACTTAACAGCTGCACATATGACACAGGAAAAAAGAAAGACTCTGAACCCTTTCTTTGCTATTTGTATAAATAGTGTTCCTACAAACAGTATAAATTAGCTTAATAATAAGGACCACTCAGATCTGAACTACACAGGAATCAGCTGCCAAAGTTGCAATAACAAAAGACACAATTAAGAGATCAAACCCTTTTTTTGTTGCATTTAAGTAGAGTGTATATAAGAAGAAATGCCTTTTAAAATAGGATGAAAGCCAACACTAGTTTCTGTAACCTGAATTGAATAATAGAACTATAATCAATTTAAACAGAACAGATCCTTATGTATGCATTCTATATACCATTTTGTACATAGTACTAATTATATATGATGATATAAGTTCAAACAAACAAAACTTACAGCTGATTAATGACGGTATCTAAACTTGAGTTTTTTATTATATATCAAAACCCTGTTGGAAATGCTACTTTTATTTTACTGTGAGGCTAGCGCTCTTGTCGCCGGCAGTCCTCCAGGTAGAAGCTTCTTTCACAACTTCGCCGTCTTGTTTTGAAAGTACATGTTCTTTCGATGTATCGCAGTGACGTGACTGACAACGATAAGAATTGCTATTTCGTGTAGCCCAGCCCTTTCTGCTCTTCGTGTGTTGCAGCCAGGTGAAAATTGAGGCTGTGCATTTAACTGTCCTTCCGTCCCCTCACCTTTGAAGCGGAGGCAGATTAGAGGGAATTCCGTCTCGTATAGGCGTTTGTGCACTGTTTTCATATTGTTACACGCCGCTCTCTAAATTATTACCCTTCTTCGATTAAAGCACACGCTCACATTGCAGATGATAGACACAGATGGACTTGAATTGGAATAGTATCAAAAAGAATCATCTCTCCCATAACTCGGAGTGGAAAATTATATATTTTTGGCTCTTTTTGCTTCTGGCCATGGAATTGGCGGTCTTTGTTGTGTTAGCGGATTGTCACTCCTGTTGATCACCGGTACAACGTCAGTGTACGGTCGTCTCAGTACCCGACCCATAGATAATATAAATAAACACTAGATGGTCTCATGGGAGATTTTCCAGCGTAGCTCACCGGCGGCCATCTTGCTACAGTCAACAGCTACTCTGGTACGCGCTATGGTAGCTGTTGTAAGGTGAGTGATCTGCACAAAAATACTCTTAAATCGCTGAAATCTTGACTGATTTACAAACGGTTTGGTTTATTATAAACATTATTAGAATGGCTATGATACAGGATGCTTGGACATGTTGAAATTGCAGCTTTTCTTTGTGTATGTGCCGTGGTTGTATTTATTAGCTGGCTAATAACAAGAGGCTGTGAGTGAGACCTAGTATTTACAAAGTTGACCCAGCAACTTTACACCAGTGGGAGAGGCAAAACTGCTCTTTCTTTTCAACATAACTTAAGTTACACATGATTTCTTCCAAGTGGTTTGGCTTATTAAAAATATCTTACATTTTAGATACATTATGATACAGGAAATTGCTGGCTTTGTGTTTACAGAAGTACCTGACTATGCCGGACTTTTGTGCAGCCTACGGATGCTCTAATCGCCGCAGTCTGCAAACAAGAACCCGTGGAATCACCTTTCACGTGTAAGATATGACAATATTATGACTATAATTAGGATAATAATTACTTAGTGGATGTATGTACACTACAAGTCCTGCTACACAGGATCAGTGGGGCTATGTGAGATAATAGTATTGCAAGATTGCTGTTGACCCAGCCTCTTTAGAATATGTTGCTACCATTTCTTTACACAATTATGTAATGTTTCTTTTGCACACCTTTTTTATAACTCTTAGTGTGGTTGTCTTATTCTTAAAGTATACATTACATATATACATACATATATACATACATACATACAATTACCCCAAAAATATGATAATTTCGGTGTGTATTTTTGTCCTTACCCTTAATATTAAAGGAAAGAAGGGAGGACAATGTTGACAATAATTTATATATCTGGCTACCTTTGTCATGTTTTTAAGGTTTCCCAAAACCGGAGAGAGGAGGAGGCAGTGGGAAGTTGCCCTAAGAAGGGACGGTTTTGTTTCCTGTGGCAGTGAGCACTTCAGGAGTGAGGACTTTGACAGGACGGGGCAGACTGTCCGGCTTAAAGATGGTGTTGTGCCAACAGTATTCAATTTCCCAGCTCATCTTCAAAGGGTATGTGTATCATTGGCCAACAAGAATTCAAGGTGTATAAGATTGATATATAAATATGTGATTAAATGTCTCACTTTAGTTTTTCTTTCTGCAAGTTTAGGAAAAATAATGTGTTGTGTATTACAGCACATTTTAAACACTCAAAATGTCTTTTGTCGGAAGCAACAAGAAGCACAACCACTTCTAGAAGAGCGGAAGATGAACCTCAGCCTAATGTTGTGAGTATTCTGAATGTGGCCAAGACCAGAGAGATGGTCATTGATTTCAGGAGGGTGAGGACGTCTCCTCTACCCCTGTGCATTCTGGGAGAAGATGTGGCTGTTGTGGAGGACTAGAAATACATGGGAGTGCACTTAGACAAAGGGCTAAGCTGGAGGATCAACACTGACGCTGTGTACAAGAAGGGGATGAGTAGACTCTATTTTCTGAGGAAGCTGAGATCCTTCCACGTGTGCAGCAAGATGCTGGAGATCTTCTGTTGTGGCCAGTGCACTCTTCTTTGCTGCGGTCTGGGGGGGGGGGGGCATAAGAGCCGGTGACACCAGCAGGATCAATAAACTGATCAGGAAAGCTCGGTCTGTCATCGGCATCAAGCTGGACCCCTTTGAAGCTGTGGTGGAGAGGAGGACACTGAACAGGCTGTTGTCCATCATGGATAACCCCACCCGTCCTCTCCACCTGCAGCTGGACAGTCAACGGAGCTCCTTTTCCAACAGACTGCTGCAGCTCCGCAGTGCCATAACTCTGTACAACAAATCACCTCTGGATGGAAGAGTCCTTAAAGGACACAAAAACCCCTACTACCAATACACCTTCATTCGTAGGAAGTCCAGATATCTCCCTGGGGTTAGAGGGACCACTTGTGTGAGGGTAATGGACAAACTAACAGTCGTTACTTTGCCAGGAAAAGTAATAGTGGGACACTTACGACTGTCTAGATCCTACCCCAGAGTAGGTGGGGCCTAGGAAAAAGCCCTTTATTCTTTTATTGCCTCTCTTTTTGGAGGGCTAAAAAGAAAGGGGACTCCTTTGGGGACCTTTAACGAAAGCAATTGCCTCAAAGGCGTCGAGACTGACCTCGCGTTCTGTGCAAGGGAACTGCCTACTGTTCCTCGCAAAGGACTTAGGGTAGCTTGACGGCCCCCCCATTCCGGTTAACGTCTCTCATGGGAGACGACCTCAGTCGGGAGAGTAGGTATGGCATTGGTATATTTGGTATCGGCGGTAGGTGAGACTCGTGGCGAGGACTCTCGCCCGCATGGACAATAACACACACACCCATCAGTACCACTGTTCGGTACGGTCTCGGAACCGGCGGCAACGGGCACTTCGTTGGGGTTCCCCCGGGGCGGGATTTCCCGAAACTTCCCCAGAGGTGTGCGCGTTGTGGTATTGGTCCGAAGAGTTATGGACAGAGATAAATCTCTCTTCTGAGTTGTCCTGGGACTGGGTTGAGCACCTCCACACACGTCACGAAAGTGGAGCACGCATTATGGCGCGATCCGAATTATGTCTGACCACACATCCGTGTTGCCTTTGTCTCTTTTTTGACCGCGACGGAACAATGGGCTTTCCTTATGCTTCATCGGCCAAATTTACAGTTCGGGACACGAAAATTGGCTGACCAATTGTATGGTCCGATATGTCGCTCGGAACGACAAAAAGGATTGGGCTGTCTAATCTTTGTGACCGAGTTTGCCGCTCAGAAGACAGAAAATGGTGCTTTTCTTTTTTGTCTACCTTAATACGTTGTTCAGGGGCGACGGGGAAAATGGTTATCTATATTACCGTCGGCCGGACTGATACCCACCCCCCTGTACACCTCTGTGTCAACGATGTCTGTGTGACAACTCTAAACTTAGCAAATAAGTTTTAAGAGAGAAGGGTGTATTGGGGGGGTTTTCTCAGTATGGAAGCCAAGACAAAGGGAGCCTCCTAAGGGAGCCTCCTCGTCTGGTCCTCGCCCATAGGAAAAAGGGGAGGCTGTGCGGCGGACGTCTAGGACAGAGACACGCCTCCTCGCCTCTGGACCCTGCCTCGGGGACGTCACGGCTTCCCGCTAAGACTGTCGGCAACGGACAAGGAGCGGCAACGGTCGGCGACGGGAGTCGACTCTGACAACGCCCCTGACGCCCACGACAGCAGACGACAGCGTACGTACAACGACTCCTGCATACAGACTCTCGGTTCGATCGCACTGCGGAATTACAGAAGACGACGAGGGCGCCGTCTAAAGTATCTGATGGTGTTACCCACACCTTGACACCTGGTTTGTCAGCAAGGCCTGACTGGACCTGCGGAGGTCGTCGAGGAAAGGGACGTTGGGGTAGTGCCATATTGAGGGGATGACATGTCTCCATGGCAGACTTGGACACAGCGGGTAGCAGCGTTAGGCGCGTGACGCTCTGACGGCTGACGTACGCGTGTCCATTCAAGTCATGATCGGGCGGAATGGATAGAGGAGTCGGAGGTGACTCCTGTACAAAAATCTGACGAGACTGTAAAGGTGGTACCTTAAACTGTCGTTGCGATATAACAACGGCGTCGCTCGGGACCTTGCGTGTGACTACTACGCCAGGGTCAGACAGCTTCGTCTGTTGGCTAGAAACCGCCGTCGGTTTGTACCCAACGGCAGCCTTTGGATCACAACCGACGGATCGGGGTTTCTTACGGGCCACTCCAGCCGAGATCTCCTCCGTGCCAGCCTCTTTAAGTGCAGGCAGTTAGGTTTTTTGGATGGTGAAGCACTTCCCCGGTGCATTACAGATAGCCTCGAAAGTACGAGGTCCCCAGGGAGCGACGGGGAGACCATGAAGGAATACCGGCCCGCTTGTCTAGCTGTTTTGTGTGTGTGTGGGCCCTCTTGTGTGTGTCCTGTATTAGTAGGCCGCCACTCGAGAGGACTGATCCCCTTTGTCCCCTTCTAAAGAGGTTCCGCCGGCCGGATATTTGGTTGTGTGGTGGTGTTACCGTTGCGGCACCGCGGTCCTCTATGGCCTAGTGAATCCCTTGATGTGGCCTGGACGTGGCCCGGGTATGGACAGAGGAGGCAGGCTTCCCCTCTCTGACTACCCTTAGTTGGGCTCACTAGGGACTTTACCTCCCCTGGCATTCAGCAGGCTGAGTCACGGGAGGTGAGCTAGGTCCTTTTTTCCCGAAACAGGGTGCCTCATGAGGGAGGACCTGCACGGTTAGCAGGAGCGCCGCCCGGCGTTCGTCGCTCTCCATGGCGAGAGACGACAGACCCCGGTCGCCCTCTGCCCGTGTTTACACTCTTCTGTGGGGCCCTAACTCATCGTCCAAGCGTACGAGGATTAGGAGTCCGTCTGAGTGTGACACTCTAGGTACAGTTTTGAGTATTTACATCGGGCAAGGCGTATGCTCCGTTTAGGACTGAGGCGTGACCTTGTGATGGCAGGTAGAGTTACTGAATTGGGCCGATGATTGTCTTCGAAAATCCTCCGTACGCACACAATGCCAGTCATCGAGAGGATAATGTCGTGCCGAAGACAATCGGACTCTTACGCAGTATGTTTGTCACGTTGTTGTCACTCCTGCATCTACTTCTTGTCCGATGAAGGTAATATTAGTTTCACTTGTGCCTCCGCCCGGGTGCAGTATACCACCCGGCAAAGTTAGACGGAGTCACGCGTGTGACACGCCCTGCCTGAATCGGTTACTCGCTACGGAATTCCGACTTCTGTAATCATGCTAACTCTGTCCTCTGTGTCGTGACTTTACGTGTTAAAGCTCGTTGCAGACCGATCACGCAATTACCTCTCAATCTATAAGAGTGTGGAACTTAGTCTTCGGGTTTGGATGTATATTTACTGAGATCTCTGCGGGTCGCGACGACAGTAATACTTGTTACTGCAACGCTGTTCGTCGTAGAAGGATGGCAGGATCACGACATAAGTCATAGTTATCGTATAACCATTTGATTTATTGGTCTCGGAAACGAGTTACAAGTTGGTTAAGAGTTCGTGCCATGCGACTCAGAACAATCAGCTTGTTCGGTTCTATATCTATACTTTGACATGTGACACTGAGTACACTGGGAAGGACTATCATGGTAATCGTCTATTTCGTATCAGATGGGCGACTATAGTGTGATGTAGGTACATAATTAACAATATATGAAACGGTCCATAGATACGGGACATTTCACAGGAATCCACATACTTTCCGAGTAGTGTTTTATTTACATAATAATATCTATCTTGCTGGTGAGACACGGTTCTCAACCATTAATCGTTCGTCCGACGTCGACTCCTCTCTACCCCTGAGTTCTCACTGTTATCCAATATACCAACATTACATAACCTCTAATTCATAAGTCGACGTTGGTATTTTATGTCTTCTTTGGTTTGGTTGATTCTGTGTGCCAGTGTCTGTACCGGTGGTGTTGTTAGTGTTAATAGCAGTCGGAGTCTAGAAGCATTGCAGGATCTAACATACTCAAATAATCATGTGTAATTAGATCTGGGCATTTAAAATTCTTTAACTATGAATTATCCGAACAGGGGAATATTCCGTTTTTATATAAAACTCCGAGACCCTGTTTTTACCGCATAAAACTAACATTTCCAACGGTTGGGGACCCACATCAAAGTTACAAACGTGTACAACAATAAGTTCACCATACTCACTGTATCTCGTTCACTCTACCGGTCACCAAGAGTTTGAAAAATGTGTCTCATGGTGGAGTTTAATATAACCCGAGAGGATCATTGTGGTAGTATCTGGAAGGACCCATGGTGTCTCTATTTCCTAAATTATACTGTTCGGGTTTACTACGAGAGTAAACAAGTCACTGTAAGGTGTACGTTTATTCTATCTACATTTGAAATAACTAGGGTTAAACCCTTTGTAAAAATCAAGTCGTTCGTATTCCCTTGTTCCGTTAAAATGTTATTTAATCTTTTTTCGTTCTTTTATTTCTCCTTTTATATGTACACTCAAACCGTCCTATATATATTATATATTATATGTATTATATTCCGTATACCTTATAATTACAATTTATAACTTGTCTAATATATACACATTTTACATGTTGCACCAATATAAGTTCTCTTTGATACCT